TTATTTTATTTATTTATATCCCGCCTATCTGGTCAATTACGACCATGTGATGTAGTGCTTAAAGTGCTGGAGATCCCGAGATCCTATTTCCACTGAGTTGGCACACTCCCTGGGCAACCCTGGGCCAGTCAGAGTTCAGCCTGTCCTACCTCGCTGGCTTGTTGTGGAAATCAAATGCGAATGAACAGAGTCGCCTGTGGCTACCTAGAGCTCATGACAGGAAAGGAGGGACACCGGGAGGAACGTGCAACCAACAAACAGCAAGAAACGTTGGAGTAAGAATGATGACACCAACAAATCCGTGCAGAGAATTCCCCCCCCCCAGGCCGTGTGCGGGAATGTCTCCAGAAGAGGACTCGAAAGAACGTCTCCGGGGCTACCAGCAAATGCAAAAGGAACAACTAAGAGTTTAAATGTCAGGAGGATCGTTTCAGCCCTGCCTCTTGCTATACTTGACAAGCCTGGGGCTGTGGGGAGGCGGAGAGAGAGAGAGAATCACCATCACCTTGGTAACGCACCGAGCGAAAGCCAGAGTCCCCACCCTGCCCGTTTGCGGGGATTTTGCCCCAGGAAAGCCGCCCGGGTGGCAGCACCGCGGTGGCCGAGAGGGGTCTGCGGGCAGGCGGCTGGCCTCGGGCGGGCCGCCGCTCCCTGTCGCCGACCGGCGAGGGGAGGAGGGCCTGCCCCTCTCCGATGCGAGCTCCTCTGATGACGTGCCTCGGCTCGGGCGGCTCGCTGCAGTGTCCCTGCAATGGCTGAGGGGCGGCTGTCGGATGCTCGCAAGGAGCGCGTTCTCCCAGGAGGAAGGGAAGCCAGCATCCAGCGCATCGCCCGGCAACGGCTCCAACCGGCCTGGGAAAATTCCTCTCCCACTCCTTCCTCGGCGAGGCGGGTCTGATTCTCCACTTCCAGGGAGTGTACATGGTGAGCAGTAGTTTGTGTGCTTTGGGGGGCCAAAAAAAACCCCAAACCAACCCAACCCACCAACCCAACCGGGTGGATTCCCGGCTCCTTCTCTCGTCCCCCCCCTTTCCCCCCCTTTTCTCTTCTAAACGCTACCCTGGACTGGCTTGACGAATCAGGCTTGCTTGTGGGAAAAGGACAGAAAAATCTGATCTCCAGCAACCAGGATGGAGCAGGCTTTTAAAATGGATTCTTCTCCCTTTTTAGTTATGAGCCTCTTGCAATGTCAGTGGCCAAGCGCAGCCTTTGATTTAAATCTGTTTGCTAGGAACAGCCTACAGGTTCTGGAATGAAGTGCACTGCAGTACACGGAATGGTACTTTCTTCAGGTAAAGCAAACAAGCAGTCTGTACGTCAAGATGGAGCAGGCTTGCGAGGTTAGTTTTTCTCTGCCTATATCTGTTCTTCTCGCTCTATTTCAACACAGTCCCTGCCTTTGCACCTGGTTATATAACAGCTTGCTTCTGTATTTCGAGTAATCCGTTGCCAAATTCGTTTTGCATGTGGTGCCTGGCATAATTTGTCAATGCATCAAACCTCAGCAGCTGGGCTATTGAAGACATATCGATGTTATTGGGTGGCAGTGGTGACCGTAATGATGATTGGTAAAGGAGTAGGCCTTGGCCAGTCCATGGCATTAAATATTATTGCGTAAGGTAAGGATCTGCACCCATCTTGCCTCAGACAATTCAAACTGGGTTGGGCAAAGCTAAGCTTTGGCTGCTGATACGAGGTCATGTCTGCACTTTTTCATCTGATATTTAGCACATATCAGAGTCTTGCAACTTTGCAGTGAAACCTGTTTGCTACATACATTGCCTGGGGAATTCTGATACCTCTTAAATGTTGTTTTACAGACAAGGAATCAAAGGGAATTTCTTATTTTATTACCATTTATTCCCTTGTTGGTTACAAATGTCACTTTGACCTGTAAGCTAAGGAATTCCAACTAATAAAGTGAATTGGATGTAGCTGGTTTGAAATGTGGATAAAGCATGAAGTGTAGAAGCAAAGAATCTGATTTGTGTAGCAGGTTTCCACCATTGACCAATCTTCGTCTAATGTGATATGGGTTATTCATATTCATTTTGAAGAATGGAGCAATCTCTTTCTGCTGCTGTTCTGATTCACTGATCTTGGCCTACAAATGCAAAATTGCATTTTGTTGGCAATGCAGTCCTTTGCTTTATGTATATGGGTCTGGCTGTCTCGGTGTGCATGTGTTTCTGGACAAGATGAAGGAAAGGAACATTTGAAGGGGAGACTGTCACTTGGTCTTTAGTATTTGGTTCATTTCATAATAGCTTTCTTAAATGTTTGTTGAGAGATGAAGGACACCATATGTGGCGATAGAAAATGACCACCTTATCTGAAAAGTTTGAAGAGTAAGGAACAGAATAATTGTGGTGGTGAGGCTACAGTTGTCCTCTGCACACTTAGCTGAGAGTAAGCCCCATTAAAATCAGCAGGACTCAATTATGAAAAAATATGCACCAGATGAGGTAAATTGAAAATATAATATTTTTTCTTGTAATTGAGGGAGGGAAAGATCTTGGGTGATTTTTTAAAATTGCTCCAATCCAGGCATATTCAGAATTTGTTTCCATTTGATCTTCTCTGTATGTTCACGTCAGTGAATTATTGTTTGCAGAATTTTGCTTTTGAAAAGTGATTTACGTTTGTAATTGAAGCACCTCCCTACAGTAATGCATAGACATATTTTGGCTCTGTCAGTTTCAATTATTGCATAAACAGTCTCAGTAAAATTTGAAATCACAGGAATCCATTGTCAGATACTTTAGATTCTCTGTCAAGCAGTTTATACCACTAAATGAGATTTCCCTTTGAGCAAAAGTAGGTGTTTATCTCTGGAATAATCAGTAAGTGCTATCTGGAAAGGCCCAACAGAAAATGCTTCTAACAATAACTATACTACCAGAGCAAGACATCCTTCCTGTAGATTCCTGAGGCAGCCATCATCTGAAAAGAGAAGAAATCTGACGTTAGACGGCATCTGTGTCCAGCCAAGTTTTATACTGCTGATGTGTGATTTTTCTCTTTGTAGTTTGCCATTATCTCTTATCCACAATTGCTGTTTTCTTTTTTAAGACACACTGGAACACATGTGGCTTGAAACAATAAGGGAATATTTAGACTGATGGCAGATTTGACTAGAATTTTTGCTGCAATGTAGACTGTGTATTAGCATAAGAGCAGCTAGGGAATATTCATTATAGAGGTCATGATGCAAAGTACAATTTACAAGATGCATACTGCAAGGCAGCATAAGGCTTCTGTCGGCTATGTCACGTATCACTATTAATTGTGTCTCAGTATCTTCAGCATAATAATAATAATCACATGCCATCAAGTTGATTCTGATTTGTGGTGCCCCTTTTCAAGGTTTTTCAGGTAGAGAATACTCGGAAGTAGTTTACCATTCCCTTCTTCTAGAAGCACCTTGGGACTGTGCAGCTTGCCCAAGGCCACACAGGCCACTTGTACGCAGAGGAGGCACAGTGGGGAATTGAAGTTCCAACCTCTGGCTCCACAGCCAGATATCTGAACCACTGAGCTATCCAGCCAGCATACACAAATTTAAAATGTGTGTTCACTGCGTCTTATATATCTAGAGCAAGGATGGACAGCATGCACTCCTTATATTGACACTGAGTTTTGAGTGGCCCACAGTTGTGAACCCTGAAGGGAGTTTTTTAAAGTAGCCATTCTAGGGTACAAGTTTTAAAAATTGTTAGGAAAAAGTTTGGGTGGTAGGGTTATAGATGTGAGTGTAGCCCACTAAGATCCAATAATGGGCTTGCATGGTTTCTGGACCTGTGGGTATCACTGATCCTGTCTTGGAAAGCTGCATCTTAATTTCCAAATAACTAAATATTTTCCTTTCAGACGTTTTGCTAAATAGATTGAAAATAAGTTTATAATGCACATATCAGTTGTAAATGTAAACAATATGTCTGTACTCTCTCTGCATCTATAGTTTCTTGATTTGTTATTAATAACATTTACAGTCTTGTCTTCTCCCTGTGAGCTCAGCATGGTATGCATGACTCTCCTCCTCTCCCTGCACTTTTATTCTCACAAAAGTATTGTGAGGTAGATCAGGCTCAGAAAGCGTTGAGTGGTCCAGAGTCACTCAGTGAGTATCCGAATCAGGCTCAGAAAGCGTTGAGTGGTCCAGGGTCACTCAGTGAGTATCAGAGATGCTCTCAAGTCTTTGTATCCGAGTCACTGCATCCAAATCCCAAGGCTGAGTCCCTATTAAATAGAAGCTGTTTTTATTGTTGGCAAGTCTTTGTATCCAAGTCTGAGCCATTGCATCTGAATCCCAAGGCTGAGTCCCTATTAAAAAGAAGCTGTTTTTTATCCAGAAAAAAAGGAGGAGTGGGTGGATTCTGAGTTGCAAGTCAAGTCTAAATCAGGTGGATTCTGAGTTGCAAGTCAAGTCTAAGTCACTGAAATGCAAACCCCCCCCCCAAAAAAAACTGAGTTGAGTCCAAGTTGAGTCACTGGTGCGATTTAAGTCTTACTTGACAATGAACCCCTTGACTCAAGTCCCCAACCTTGGTGAGTATCTTGACTCGGTAGGGCGGTGATTCCCAACCTTGGGTCCTCAAATGTTCTTTGGCTGAAACTCCCACACGTCTTCACCACTAGCTGTGCTGGCCAGGATTTCTGAGAGTTGCAATCCAAGAACATTTAGGGACCCACGGTTGGGAACCACTGTAGAGACTTGAATAAGTTGTACTCCATGACTTTGACCATTGCTTCTTCATTAAAATTCTTCCTCGTCTCTGTGGCTTAAATGGTTAAGCTAAATGGTTATATTGAGACATCTACTGCATATAATCTGGTCCTTGTCAAACTTCACAGTGTAAGTGGGCCATTCATTTGTTTTCTGTCTTCATAAAATAATCTCAATTTTTTCTTTACCGCAAAGGAACTCATTAAATGAGAATTTTACAGCCCTAACACCTTTGACTAATACGTAAACTACATCATGCTTTTTTATTAGTATGGAATTTTACAAGTAGTTGAAAGATTCTCATTACTTTTAAAAGTATTTATATGATTTAAGGTCTATTCATTTTGTAGCTTTTACACAGTTATAACTCAGGCTTGCATTGTAACATCACTTTCAAGTACATCTCCTCCCTGCAGCATGTTTCAGATTTGGCTGACAAGCTGTAGGACTAACCCTGCGGAATGAATTTGCTTCCTTCACTCTCTCTAGACACAAACGAAACAAAAAGTTCTCTAACTTGATAAAACAGGTACAGAGACCTCAAAAAAAAGAAAGAAAGAAAGAAAGACAGAAAATAAACAAAAGGGAAGGGCAGAGAACCAGATGGGGAGCAGATATTTCATCTTCCACTGCTAATTTTGGTAGGTTCTATATTTAGCTTTTTTTCTCTCTGCCCACAATAAAGCTGTTTATAAGTTTCATTTGCATGAGAAAGAACATCAGGTGGCTTGTTTTACCTTGGAAACAGGGCTGTGACACTGGACAGCAGAGAAGAGAGGGACAGGTGGGGATAGTCTTGTGACACATCCCACACTTCCTAGCCCCATTCCATGGCTAGAAGTGGGAATATCCTATCAGGACTGCTCTTTTTGGTCATTAAATGTTTATTGATTTATCAATAAAGAGACAAAAATAGATTTGTGAGAGCCCCATTACTGCTTCTACCGGTACCTTCTGGCTCATTATAATGTACAAGCACAGCTATCCTTTTCTGGGAGAGAGGTTTGGTATTTTTGGCCTCAGAATTAATTGTTGAGGAGACCACTGCAACGGGAGGGTGGGGTGGACTGTGTATTATGTGTAACAAAAAAAATTGCTGCAGTATCAGCTTATTTCTGGGAAAAATGTATTGGGTTAGATTCAGATAGTTTCATGTAATGACCCTTGAAATCAAAGGAACAAACCATGACTAACTTTT